TAAGATAGATAGATAGATAGATAGATAGATAGATAATCAACACTCTCTGATAGATAGATAGATAGATAGATAGATAGATAGATAGATAGATAGATAGATAATCAACAGTCTCTGATAGATAGATAGATAGATAGATAGATAGATAGATAGATAGATAATCAACAGTCTCAGATAGATAGATAGATAGATAGATAGATACGATGAGAACGAATAAAGTACAATTCCAGCGTTCGTAACCTTTAATTTACAAAGCGGGCTCAATACAGACTAAAGCAACATTATTTATCTTAGGATATTACATGGAAAACATGTAAAGATAGCTACATAATTGCATTCGTGTTTCAGTGCTTATCAATGCATCTCATCAAACGATTGTAAATTACTGGCGAGGGAAAGATTTATTTAGATTTAAAAGGAAAATACAAACTCTTTTTACGAAAAAAAGAAAAGAGGTGTGTGGTCTTTCCTTTGATCAACCAATCAAATATGACCTACATTAAATTCAAACTAAGCGAAAAAGCAAAAATTAAAAATTATTTTTTACAAATGAGTCATGATCCGTAGGTTGGAAGCTAACGGCAGCTAGACATAAACTTAAAGCAGATACATATTGTTACATAAAATATACAAACCAAACAATGCAGTTTCGTAAGAAATAAAAATTGGTTGAAGAGGTAATTTAACAAAATGCTAAACAAGTTATATGCTTCGAAAATTTCCTACATTAAATTTTTTGTGGTTGATAAATAAATGGCCTCTTTAAGAAATTAATAAATGATTTAAAGATAGAATTATTTAGTAAATAATTATGCAACTGTTAACTAAGAAATAAATTGTGTAGCGATTTTTACATGTTTTCGGCGTAATATCCTAAAATAGATAGATAGATAGATAGATAGATAGATATAAACACATTTACGTAATTGTAAAATATATGATTGAGAAAAGACAATCAGAGTATCAAAATATTTATTTGCTGTATTAGAGCAACATCTATCTGCGCAGTTATGATGAAAGCCGGTACGTTCTGCGCAGATGTAGACAAACAGTAGTTATTTCTATGAAATATCCTGAAAGCTCGAATTGATAGACACACTGCGATTTTGATATGGATCGTAAGGTTGTCTTAAAAAATAAATATGAATGTTTCCTTATTTCAGACGTTGTATAAGGACACGAAACATGAAAATTGCAAAAAGAATGTTCTCCGGATGCCTGACAAGTGGGAAGAAGTTCTTTGAAAATCTTGGATAACTCCGATATTGGTTTGTGTGATAAAGACAAGATGAAGAGTCTTTGATCTTTGTCGCTCATAGACAAAAACTGTCTGTATGAAGTTATGGAAGCGTTGTTGCAGCAAATACGTGTCGAAAAGCACAAAATATTGGTTCATAAATCAAGTGGCAAGATATGTGCAATCGTACGCTAAGCCTTCTTTAAAATAATTGATCCAATATTACCTTCAGACATATTCACTATTTTAGTAATGTCTCTGTGTCTCCTCAAATCGCCATTCCAATGATTCGTAGATGGATATGTCTCTCGCCCTCTGTTCTTTCGCATTCACTCATTCAGTCAATGACGCTCCACAGCTTTCGCTTTCAACCTTTTTATCTTTGTCGTCATTTTACTAGTTTGATTCTCTTGCTTTCGGTGTGTACTGTGAGTGTTAATTTCTCCAAACCTCTTTTGTCGTCATATTTATCTCTGTTTTTCCTAACTTCGATGTGCCCAGAAGGTATTAAATTGTTCGAGTCTTCAGCTAATTGAACATTACTAGAAACAGACTTCTAGAATTCCCGATCTCCGTAATGAAAAATAAGGTTTGGAGAATTTAACACTCAGAGGAGAGCTATATATACGAAGCGATAGTAGGTTACACAGAAACATAAAACTGGAAGTTTGAGTTACTTCAAACTTTTCTTGTGAGAAAGTTTTTTTTCAGTATAAGTACAAAATGTAAATATTTGTTTTTATTTGAATTCGAACACCGAATATTTTTGCCAAATAAATAGTAAAATTATTTTCTTAAAATCGTTATGCCTAGCTTCGAATAGCACAAAGTTAAAAGTGTAAAACGCCCAGTACTATACGACAATATTAATACAGTGCGAGACTACTCCAATAACTATAGCTTTATAGATAGGTGTTATGGGTGATATTTAGCGGTTTGGCGTAATGCCATAAATTCCGGGCAACGAAACTTATCGTGAATGGCTTTTAAACTCTAACTGCATAGCGAAGCGTACAAATGGTTCGTGATTTTGCATACATGTCCTACGGGGCCAAATACGTCTAAATACCTTATTTCTCTACATTAATCCACTTTTTATAGCTACGGACGCGTACAGTATCAACGATTTCCGAGTAGTTTCATCTCCCCAGTTTCACCAAGAGGTCTTGGGTCAAATTATTATATGATTTTCTGACACTTTCCAACGCTGACGTATGCAGGGACCTTCTCGCAATAACGATATTATCAATTAGTGACCGCCTTGACTAATCGACCATAGCGCGATTCGAACCTGGCTTTCCAACCATCATAGAGAACGATTTTTCTTTCCCTCTGCATGACTGACGCTAACCTCCCGGAGAGGAACTCATTGAGTCGTCTTCGTATCAGATTTTCCACTGACATGAAGCGGAAGGCTTATATCCGATCAATCACTAGGTCTCCTGCTAGGAAAGTTGGTTCACACTGTCATACCAAGTTAAATAACATCGAACCTTGTCAGCATCTAGATGAGTGACCGATTTGGAATAACTGGTGTTGTGAGTTCGTATGTGCGAGTGAGGTAATGGATAACAAATTGCAATTCGGAATCAGCGAACCGAGTTCCAATTTCAGTCGGGTTGGTTATATTCACTTAAGTGCAGATATGAAAGATACGATTCCACCTCTCTTCCCTAAATATGGGTTAAATAATAAGGCGTGTATCAGTAAATCATTATTATCTTCAAATAAATCTTACAATCTAGAAATATTTTTTTTGGATTTATATAACCGGCAAAATATTTAATAAACCACAAAAATAAAAGTTAATCACTATAATACCAAACAATGTTTCTCGCCAAAATCCATCTTGTACATTTATACATCTTCTATTCGCCAGTACGTCGACTATTAGTGCCATGTCTGGTCTGTTTTTCCTGTTATGTATCTCAGGATTCCAGTCAAAATTCAAAGAAAGGTCTGCAATGTTATCGGCTCTGTTGTGGCATCTCGTCTTCAGTGACTTTTCATCGGAGTGATCTGGTTTCCCTTTTTCATTTCATTTCTATAAAAATATTTTCATGGAGAGTAGTCCTAATGAGCACCCCTCCTTTTTACCACGGCCGCGTGAATTTAATTTTACTGCTAGATTGGCAAGTAGGTCTCATCGTTTTATTGTTGTAATGACGAGATGGAAATTTATGTTTTATTCTAATATTTTCTTTTCATCTTGTGGATCTCTCTAGCATTTCCTTACTTCCCTACCCCGTACACGATCTTTAAAAAATGTACAATGTCAATCGCCTTCTTCTGCCTTTTATTGTCCTATTTCTTATCCAACTTTTTTCTCATTTCTTTTCATTCTCATTAATATATTGCATTTTAGTAGCCTTACTTGGTGTGAAATGATTAAAAGAAAGTTTTATTTGATCATCGGCCATGGCGGAGTTGTATCTAGATAAAAACATGCATTCCCTATCAACCTGTTGTACAATGACTGATGTTCTTTTAAAAAATGCCTTGTGAATTTAGAATTTGCCGCAAGAAGAATTAGCGTAGCATTTTATTATCCGAAGGCGCAATATATTACAGAAATATGTCGTTCTAAAACAAAGCATTTTTTATAAATGGAGGGTAACAACTATTCAATCGGTAGACTCATAAAAAACAGTGTTTGAGTTTGGGTTTGCAACTTCTATTCAATATATAATCATTTATCAAAAGGAATCATGATGGTCGATGCTTGCTAGCCTTACTTTGGATAAACTTTCACAGATAAGATAAGGCAACAATGAAATGGTTCTTCAATCGGACGCTGTGAATAACGTTCCCAACAAGGAAGTTTAAAGGAAAATAGGATCAACAAGCACACTTCTATTTACAAGGTGCACGCACGAACACTCACATACACATACGCATAGATAGATAGATGTGTATGGACTGATACGTCGATTGCGGCGTTTTGTCAGACGACTGTCAGTCCGTCATTGATTGACCGTCCTTGAGCCCGTTGATGACTTTTCAATCCTGCCAGCGAGATGCACATCTTCCAGCAAATTTGGCACTCATGATCATCGGCATTAGTTGAGACGCCAGACACGCTGTTAGCAGTATGTTACGTTTGAGACCACCTGCTGATCGGCAAACTCCAGAGCAGTTGGAGAATAAAAAGTTACCATGCTGAGAGTCAATTCTCAGAATGAGAGGGACAGCAAGTAGAGATTTTTCAAGCGTAGATTAGATGTGGCACACGTCCGAAAGTATGGGGTATCCAGTAAGGATCGAACTCACTTTTCAGTAGTAACTGATCTAGCAAGACAAGCTTGTTAACCATTACACCACGCCGAGGTGCCCAAAGAGGGACAGCAAGTATAGTTAGATTGCTTTCATGCTATTTCATCTGATTAACCAGACCTGCCTTTGACAGCAGAGTCCGGTCACATGCCTCACAGATCCACACAGCTTCAAAATGTGCAGCACCCTGGAAAATCACAGCCCTCCACTGAACACAGGAACACTAAAATACACTAAACTCTTCTTGACAATATCTCGAAACCGTTTTTTTTGGGGGGGGAGGTTGAGGGGCGTGATGGAATTACTTGCCAGAAAGAAGCTCACCATAAAACATCTGAGTCTTGAATCATCAAGCCGAATAAGATGACCAACCCAACGCATCTGGTTCCAAACCAGAATTGTAGAAATGCTGACTGTTTTGACTTTAGTCAAGACAACTGTATCTGGAACACGATTGTCCCACTTCAGTCCAATAATAGGTCTGAGACAGTGCTGATGAAATCTCTCAAGCAGTTTTATATGAGATTGATACAAGGTCCAGGTTTCAGAGGCATAGTATAAGGTTGAAAACACCCATGTTAGATACACAGACACTTTAGTTGGCAGAGTTAGATCACCATCCGACCAGACTCTATCTTCTAGCTTACCAAAGGACACAGATGCCTTGGTATTCTCTGATTTCCCCATCAAGGGAACCATCATTAGATAATGTAAATAAGAAAAAGGACAAAAACCTTTGACGACTTCAAGACGCTTCCCATAGACAAAGATGTCATGTTCCGCGTAAAGATCACCAGAAGTGAGTGTGTACATGACTTTGGTTTTCTTAATGCTGATTGTCAGTTCAAAGCAGATAGAAGCATTAGTAAAGGGATCCATCATTGAGTGCATTTCCTCCGAAAAGTGCGCAGCTAAGTTGTCATCGTCGGCATATCTATGCTCCCTAACAAGTGTTGTGGCTTGGAATCTTCTCAAGTTGAAAAATTTTCCAGTTGTTCGGAATCCGATGTAAACACGTATCACAATCATGGGTACAGAGTACAGCCGTCAGGTAAATTGTGAACAATGTTGGTGCAGGTATATCACATTGCTTTACTCCATTATCGATGGGAAGTTCCTCCGAGAGCTAGCCATTGAAATTGACACGACCCCGTTTAGGAAGTCTTACAAGCACTTTTACAACTGCTTCTAGCAGTGAAATACCACGGTAATTACCAGTCTGACTTCTTCCCCTTTCTTTTGTAGAGTATAATCAGAATGACATCTATCCAGAATGGACTAACATATATAGATAGACATATACATATATACATACATGTGAATAGATAGATAGATAGATAGATAGATAGATAGATAGATAGATAGATAGATAGATCTTAATGGACTAACATATATAGATAGATACATCCCTGTATGCATATATATATATATATATATATATATATATATATAGTATTATCTTGTATTAGTATAATATATATATATATATATGAATAGATTGATAGATAGATAGATAGATAGATAGATAGATAGATAGATAGATAGATAGATAGATAGATAGATAGATAGATAGAAATGGGCTGAGAGAGATTATTGATACAAACATAAATAAATATGAATAGATTGATTTAGATAGATATGAATGGACTGACAGATTTATAGATACATACATAAATAAATAAATATGAATAGACTGAAATAGATAGATAGATAGATAGAAAATAGATATAAAATATATATATATATATATATATATATATATATATATATATATATATATATATATATATATGGTTGGATAGATGTGAGTTTGTGACCCTGGGTTTCACGCTTTAGCGATCGTCAGCGCTTTCTTATAAGTACCGCGCATATAATATATAAATAATTATACATATATATATATTTATTTATATTTATATTCACTTTATACATATATATATATATATATATATATATATATATATATATATATATATAGAGAGAGAGAGAGATTGCTTTATATTTACAGATGTTTCTTCTCTCTTTCCGTTGATTCTTTTCTTTCTTTTTCGTATTCTTCTCTATTTTTCCACTCCTCTTCTATTTCCTCTACCTTCCTTTCTCAATACGTTTCTATATTCTTAACTTGTAAATGTTTCGCTTTGTTTTAAACTTCGTTTTAATCTGTTTTTTTTTCTTCATTTCAAATGGCATTAGTATAGTTTAAAATGAATTCCTACAATAGGGATTTCTTCTGTCAACTGCACCAGTTTTTAGTATACTTATTAATCTACCGAACCGCCGTTTGAACTGTGATTCTTTTTTTTCTATCAATCTTTGGGCGAGACAAACAGAATAATTATCTCATATCCATTTCAAATGATTTATATATCATCCAATGATACACGCTGCTATTTGTGAATGAAAGCGTTGGATATCATTTCAGAGAATCACATCTCGAAATATTGGCTTAGTTTATCGTTAGACAATATGATACATTTTACGTATACCATGCATATTTGGAAAACTAATTTGTTTCCTTAAATATATCTGCGATTTATAAATGAATCAAGCAATTACTGCGTTAGTATGGCAATAATTACATAATAGTGTGATGACATTAGATCTGTACAGAATATCCATGTCTATATTTTTAAATGGGCTAAGCCAACGCTGACTGTAGTTTAAAATTATAGTGAAGTATTTCTAGAAATATATAGTGCTGAAAATGAATTCGTCTTCGAATATTTATAACTGGAATACGATCGTTATATTCCTTCGTCTTATTTTTCTCTTTCCTATACACTACGTGCCAAATTATTATCGAGATAACTTTTTTCCTAATATTTCAAAAACCGTCCAATCAATTCACACAAAATTTTTCACAGAATGTTGACAACACTGACCTGCGCAATCACTGAAATTTTTGTACTGATCTGCGCAATGTAAACAAACTGGTGCCATATTTGTTATCAGCACGGTGATTTGAGCGTGCCAAATTATTAGAAAGGTTTAGTAAAATTCCCAGAATTGAGCAAACAAAACGTTTATTAACGTTGCACGTCAATGTTTATGATCAAAAGAAGCTAATAAATAAGATAATCAAACAAATAATAACAGATACAAACAAAGGCACAGTTTTAAACAAATTAATAGGGAATGTGCTTTCCCTGTTTTGAAATTACTTGAAGAAGACGACGATCCATAGAATTTGCTAATTGTAGGATGTCATCTGCTGTAATGCAGCGAGATACGTCAAGAATTGCTTCCCACAATTCAGCGTTGCTCCTAAATTGTCGTCCGTTGGCGTACATTCTTCGCTTCATGATGCTACAAAGGTTTTTGATTGGGTTCAAATCCGGAGAATTTGCTGGCCACTTCATTTTTCGAGATCCATCGAAGCCTAACTGTTTCAAATATTCAGTAGTCTTGTGAGCAGCATGTGAGGGAGCATTATCTTGCATAACAATGGCCCTTCTGAAGGCAATTCTTTGCCTTTTCATCCACGGTTCAAGATGCTCCTTCATAAACGCTATGTAAGCATCAGCAGTCATTTTGACGCCATCTGGTACTCTCCATGGGCCCACTAATGTTTTTTCAATAATACCACCCCAGATCATTATGCCTCCACCGCCTTGTTGGCGTCTCAAACGCTGATGGCGATTCTGTCCGTTCATTACTCAGCCTTTGCACCATCTACCTGGCCCATCAAGTGTTGCTCGAGTTTTGTCTGTGAACAAAACTTTAGAGAAGTCAATGTTCATATTGTCCTTGGCCCATTTCAATCAATTTTGAATGTGATTTCTCGTCAACGGAGGCTTCGATACAGGTTTGACTGTTGTTGCTATTTCTCTCAGATACCGACACCGAGTTCTTTTAGACACAGTAGAATACCCAATGCGACTGAAAAGCTCTTGACTGGTAAGTCCAGGGTTCTTCGTGGCTTCTCGATTAAGTCGTGGCATGAGACGACGTGAAATAACCTTCTGCTTGCCTTTATCTGCCCTTTTGCGTACTTGTGTAGGGTCGGCGGTGAACCTTTTCACTGTTTGATGTCACCTCCTTATCATTTTAGAAATTTCTACGGTAGATTTACCTTTTGAGAGTTCTGAGGTGATAGTTTTCTTTTCAGCATCACTTAAACTGCTTTTACGGCCCATCTTTTCACTAAATTCTTACACTTTTCTAATAATTTGGCACGCTCAAATCACCGTGCTGATAACAAATATGGCGCCAGTTTGTTTACATTGCGCAGATCAGTACGAAAATTGCCGTGATTGCGCAGGTTCGTGTTGCCAACATTGTGTGAAAATTTTGTGTGAATTGATTGGTCGGTTTTTGAAATGTTAGAAAAAAGTTATCTCGATAATAATTTGGCACGCAGTGTATACTTCTTTATTCGTTTCATCATTTTTGTCTACTTCCATCTTCTTTTCTTTATTATTTTTTTCTTCCTTCTCATTTTTTATCATTCTTCTACTTTTTTCTGTTCCCTTTTAATTCTTTTTTTATTATTATTCTTTCTCTTTCCTCCTTTTATTTCTTTATATCTTTCTTCTTTTTTTTTCATTTTGACATTCTTCATCTTCGTTCATCTTTCTTATAGTTTTCCTTATTCTATATTCATGATTTCATTTTTTTACTTGTTTTCATTATTATGCGTAGTAGTAATAGTATTAGTATTAGAAGTAGTAATAGTAGTATTTCCCCTTCAACCATTCTTATATTTGCTTTCTTTTTTTTCTCTTTTTTCTTCTTTTCCTTCTTTTTCCTCTTTTTCTTTTTACTTCATTTCATCATTCGTCTTCTGCTTCATCTTTATCTACTCATTATTATTATTATTATTATTATTATTAAATCATTATTCGTATTTCTTCTTTCTTTTCCTCCTTCTCTTTCCTTAATAGAGGTTTTCGTTATCATTTTTATTATTATCATTCAATTTCATCTCTTTCTTCATTTTTTTCTGTCTTTTTTTCCTTTTTATTGCTTTCAATCATTCTTCTTCTTTTTATTATTATTATTATTTATTTATTTATTTTTCTTCCTTTTTTATCATTCCTTTCTCTTTTTCTTTCTTTTCTTTCTTTCTTTCTTTCTTTCTTTCTTCGTCTTTGTCCTTTCTACCTCTTTTATCAGGTCCCTGAGTTTTATGTTTTGATAAAATTTTGTTCAACCTGTTGACCTTTTGTCACTGTTGTTGGTTTATTGTTTTTCCCCTAAAGACATAACCAACCTATTCACAGAAACGCACAAAACACAGGTGGTGTCATACACTTTTATAAACGCGGCTGCCTCCCTATTTTCAAAGCACACACTCTCTCTCACAAACATACCATTTCTATCCCCCCCTCTTTCTCTTTCTCTCTCTCTGTATTTCTCTCCCCTTGCTATCATTTTCAATACTGAGAAAAAAATATCAGCGACATCTTTTCATAAGAATTGTACACCCGAAAAATCCGTGGAATGCATCGGTGAAAATTTCTGGTAACAACAAAAGCAAGAACGTAAAATGAGTTCACTAATCCGAAAAAACAACTTTTGGAATAATAATGATTCATCTTAGAATTGCAGAAGATATCTTTTTTCTTTGATTTTTTTTCCCCTCATTCTTTTCAATTTTCTCTCTTCTCTTTTAATTGTTTTTCATACAATATCTTTTATAAGTTTAACGCGTCTTTACCAATTTTTATTTTCCTTTTGTGCAATCCATTATTTATTCTCTTTCCTTATTCTTATCGCTTCTCCGCAAAACGAGTATGTGCAGCGGTGCCATGGATAAGAACTCACCGAGTTCGATTTCAAGTCGAGTCGAGTTCGCTAGATTCAGTTACGCGCAAATACGCTTGGTAACAATATGATTTAAATACTTCTCTCCCGCAGGTATTGCTTAAATAGTATCTGAAAATATTATTGTTATGACCAAAATATTCTTAATGCAATATTCACCCACAAAAATATTCTTCCAACCCAAAACATATTTCTGCTTTAAATTAACCATAAATAGTTTATGAGCCGTAAAAAGAATCAGTCAATAAATCAATACTCCCAAAAATTGCTTATATCTCCTTCCTGCTAATATTTATTTATTTGCTTTTCAATCTCTTTTGAAAATATTCTACAGCAAATGGAGTTGCAGTTGTAGGTTTTCAAGCGCCGATGAGATTTCAAATACTAATTTTAAGTTAATAAGTCTCTCCCTCATAACAGATTCGGATATTGATCTTAGAATAATCTGTACAAAGTTTAGTTTCGTCCAACATTGAGAATGGCTATAAATCAAAACAAGAAACCCGAATCATGTTCTGAAATACCCTCGGCAGAACGAAACTTTCATTTGGATGCCATTCATGGTGCCACACTCGTTCAGAAATATCTAAAGATTCAGCTCTATACAACTGTTTTCTCAGATTAATGATTAAAAGACC